GCCTCGCCGGGCAGGCGGGCCGCTGCGGGCCCAGGGCCCGGCCCGCTCCGAGGGGCGCCGGGCAGCGCGCGCGGCGCTCGCTCCCTCTCTCTCCCTCGCGTGCGCGCGCCCGGCCGAGGCCGCCCCCGCCCGCCCGGTACCTGTCCTGGGTGTTTATCATCCTCGGGGCTCGGCAGGACGGACGGGGCCGGGGGAGGCGCGCACTCTCGGGCCTCTCGGCAGCTCCTCCCTTCGCGAGCGCCAAGCTCCGACTGACGGCCCTCCCCGCGCGCGAGCTGCCGCCGCCGCCTATGATGCCACCCGCCCCGTTGCTCATCTGCATAGCCCCGCCCCCGCCGCCAAGCTGCCTGGGAAACGGGCCGCTGGAAACAAAGGCACTGGCAGGGGGAGGGAGCGGCGGGGGCGTCTCTGCGCGCGCCGCACTGCGCAGGCGCGCTCGCGAGCTCGTGCGCGCGCCCTCCGGCTTTCCCAGCTTTTCTGGGCGACACGTGGCTCGGCTCGGCGCGGGGCGGTGGCTCCGGCGCGCGCGTGTTTCGGGCGTGGCGCGAGGACAGCGCCGCTTCCTCCGGGACCTTTGCAGGTGCGAGGACGCTGCGCTGGTGGCCTTTCAGGAGATGTTAGACAGTGTCTTCCCTCAGGTGCCCTTACCACGCTTTTGCGTCCGGGATACGCGAGCACTGTTCTCTTTTATTTTTCCTCATTCTCCGGGGTTGCTGGTGGTTTAAAGCAAGGGCAACACTGAATTCAGTAAAGCTTACCTCTGAATAAATAAGTATAAAATGCAGCACTTAAGCTGGCACTGGCTTTCCCCCCTTTAACTTATTTTTTCTGGGGATTGCAAAGCCAGCTGTCTTGGCCCTCATTTTGTCCGCTGAGAACCGAGTGCCTCCCTGGAGGGGGCTGCCCAGGGCCGGCCGTTCTCTCTGTTGCTCTTTCCTGAAATGGCCGTGGATATTTGCAAGCACAGTATCCTTTCAGTACCAGCACTTGTGCATTTTCAGTTACACAGGCCTGGAGATGGAAGCCCTGGGTGAGCAATGGGCAGATACCGGCTGCTACCGACACAACTGAAGGTATCAGAGCAAGCAGGCAAGGTTTTTCCCCATGGCGGTAAATCTGACTGCTGTCAAAGAACAAGATTTTTGATGTAACCAAAGGCATGAGTGATTTGTAGCTGTGAAAGGCAATATTACATTAGGATTCTGCCTTTCTACCTCTTGCAAGATGTGTAAGGCGACAGAGTAATTGAATCATGTAGCACACCAAAAGTTTCAACAAAATGAAACTGCTGCTTTGATTGTTTATTGGGAAGATTGAGGGGGTTGCATTGTAAAGAATTGTTGGTGGCACTTGCAGGGACTAAGAACACAGAGATTGCTAGAACTTGGGAAAAATGCCCAGGGATTCATTTCAGAGGTACTGTGGCACAATATCGTTGGTGGCACTGGCCAAGAAATGAACCAGCCACTTTCCTGTGGCTGGAGGAGGAATTTAAAAAGGTAGTTTTGTAACAACTTGGCATTTATTCTTTACATATGGAGCAGATAGAAACATGCATTGCACATCTGGAAGCAACATTGGAAGCAAGTTTCCCTGTGTAAACTAGGTTTGTTCCTGGACTTCTCCTCATGGGCGCATATACAATCCTGTATGCACTTATGTGGAGTAATACCTCCTTGCCATTGTAGCCACCAAAGTTTATACCATAATAAGTTTGTTCTCTGGATGACTCAGTTCTAGTATTAGGAGAAAGAAAGAAAAATCTCGTGTCTAGGTGGTTCTAGAAACTTGTTATTTATTTTTATAGTGAACAATTGTTGATGCTCTCTGGGCAGTTCACAACAAATTAAAATGCAAGAGTCAAATAGTTAAAACGGCAGTATACAACGGGAGTGGCCAAAGCAAGGCTCGCAGGCGGCATGTGGCCCTTGAGTTTCTTCTGCGGCTCACTGCTTACTGCCCACGGGCTCCTACTTGCTGATGTCAAACATCTGACATCTACCATATGTGGCTCTTCTGCTGAGCACATCTGGCCATCCCTGGTATAAAAGAAAAGTAAGGACTGAAGTAAGGCCTAGCAGCAGGCAAAAGACTGAGAATACAATGCTAGATTTGAACCAGGCTGAGTTACAATTCCTGGGGAAAGTCCTGCAATTGTCCTGTTTCATTCATGGCCTTTTAGAAAGAGTCAAGATGATGTTTGGACTCCAGATGGACTCACCCATTTGTTGCCATCCTGTCTTTCCCCCTTTTTCTTGCCACAAAAGTTCCATTAAGGGGAGAAAAATAAAGGTGGCTCAGTGCCTTTTGATCAGCAGCATTAGGAAATTCCTTCTGTCCACTTTCTAAACACAATGCATAATTCTACTACTTTCTGTTCTCTTTTCCCTTGTTTGTTGTCTTTGTAAAGCCCTGAATATTGTAACTAGGCTCTGGACTGGCTTTGGTTCCCTTTCCTGCAACTTTTCCACCTCTACAGCATTCTTTCTGAAGTGCCACAACTAGAACTGTACAAAATATCCCAAGTGTAGTTTCACCTAAAATTGTGCGAAAGCATTGCTTTGCTCTGCTTCTGCCTGTTCTCGGGGCAAAACAACTGTTTGCTATGCTGCAGGAAATTGCAATCGAATTGGCGTCCAAGTTAGAAAGAAGCCAGTTACTGTCATGCTCTGCACATGACCCACCCACCACTCCTAATTTAATGTCCCCATTAGCGGAAGGGCTCTATTTATATTGCTCAGGAAAAACAAAGCCGGCCTTTCCCACAGAGGTTGTTCCTCTGACTGATGGTTGCTGGAGGAAATTGGAATATGCTGCATTTTATTTTTAGGATTCACATGGGAAAAGAGTTTTTTAATGTTTCATTTTCAAATCCAGGGAACAAGTGGTATTTGTCTCAGGGCTGTGATCATGAAAACACTGTGCATTTATCGTTAAGCCAGCTTTTTCCTCCCTTGGCCTACACCCTGTTTGTTGTAGCATCTTGCCTGGGGAAGATACCTAGAGGTCTCAGAAGCTTGCACATTTTTAATTGTCCTCATAAAGGTATTGTGCAAATACAGACTGTGGAAGTTTGTTATGGAAGAGGCCTAGAAGGCCACTGGATTCAACCCCCCCCCACCCCAACCCACTCAGTGCAGGACTTAGATCTCCCAACCAGATTCCAACCAGGCCTGACCCTGCTTAGCTTCCAAGAGAAAATGTTTGCTTGCTACCAGAGATTTGGTTGCTCTGCAGGGGTTTTTCTGTCAGGATAAATGGAGGTGATGGCGGGCACAGGGTGAGAAGAACCATGAGCCTGCCTTGATGTCTGGATGGGAATAATAGGACAGATGTCATGAAGGAAACAAACTTTTAAAATTTACTGCATTTGTCTGAATTGATCAAAAATAATTCCACTGGACGCAGCTTGTTTTGTGTCTCCAGTCACTCATGCAGTTTACTTGGAGGCCTTGCACAAGTCACCATTTCGCAGCTTAATCTGCCTCAGAAGGTCATTGCATGATGGAATGTCTAGAAGAAAAATCCACATCTAATGTTCTAAGGGCCATGTAATTTATTAAAAATTAAATCCCAGCACAGTATTTTGAAAACATTACCTCAGTCAAAGCAATGCTAGAATAAGGTTGCCAGCTGACCCATAAAAGAGCATAAGTGGATGGCCTCAGTCTTGAGATGTAGGAGGGCGACTCTACATGACCCGATGGTTGGCAAGTATTACAAGATACTGCAAAGTAGGTTCCAGCAAAGAGCTGAGCCTCGGTACACGGAAGATACTTCAGGCTGACACTGCTTTACTCCCACTTCTGGTATGAGCTGACTCAACCGTCTCATGTGGTTGCTGAGAAGCATGAGGGTAAGTTGGAACTCTTTGGGACCACAAATGCCTTGGGATCAAGTAGGACTGCCCAGTGCCACCTTCCAGGACTGGCTGCAGGTTGGAGTAGATTGACCCTTTAGGGCAGGGACAAGGATCAGGGGAGCCGATGGCCACCCTCCCAGTCCTTTGCAAGCTGGCTGACATGCGGGGGGGGGGGTGGCCTTGCTTCTGGAATTGGGGGCTGTGATCCTGCCCCCAGTGCCACCTTGTCCCTGCTGAACGGGGGGGAGGGTGACTCCCCACTGCTTGGCTCCAAAGCATGAACTTGTGTACTCAGAATATGTAGGTATACAGCAGTACAAGCACACTCCTTGGCGACAGCGGCTGGCTTCGTACAAGACTGCATGCTGTTGTTGAAACGTGAGTCTGAACCCAGCGGAGAGAGCTACTTGCAGTAAACAACCCGCAATCAATAATCCCACAGCAAGCCGCGGGAGTGCTTCGTGGCTTGTCCGTGGTTAGTGCAGATGGACTGCTCCTGCCTGAACACTGGCCTTGCCTTTCCTGGGGGTGTGGCTCCGGGGCCTGCATTTGAAACCAACATCACTGCTTGCCTGGGCGGATTGAGGCGTGTGGGTGGTGCAGAAGGCGAGATGCAGCCAGCTGTGGCTGGAAAGCGGCGAAGAGGGATGGCAATCCGTGGGAGTTCTTCCCGTCCCTTCCCGACTTTTCCAAAGAGCAGAGCAGAGGCAAAGAGGTGCTGCTAAGGGCAGGCTGAGCGCTTGGATCCTCTCCGGCTGCAGCGTTTGAAACCAGCACACCACACTGGCCAACTACCTCGAGGAGGTGGACGAAGCAGCGCGTGTACAAGAGCCCAGCCTGGGGTGTTTTTGGAGTGCATCTCTTTCTCCTCCCCCATCATCATTTCCAAGAGCCACTGCTGATGGCCCCTCCTGGCGTTCCCCCAAGAGTTGCAGTAACAGGAAGGGCAGCAGGCCGTGAGAACAGATCCTGTGAAGCAGCTCCCTGCAGCGGCAAGGGCCAGCTGCTTCCCCTGCCACCCTCTTTTCCCCAAGCCCCGTTCAGCACGGAAATCAGAGACAATATACCAGACTTGAGCCAAATGCTGGCAGTCCAAGAAGACACAAACAAATGCATGCGCCATGCACCCTTGCTTTGCACTCATGCATCCATGCGCTCAGTGCACTTTGATGCAACCAAGTTTCCTACTCGGCATGCATGGCCACCCGACTGTTTGTGTGTGGAGTTCATGAAACTTGGCACACCAGTTTTCCATGCACAGGTCTTAGCGGGCTGCAACCTGGAAATCGGAACCCGCTGATCTGTGTTCTGCTGCTCCGGGCACCTTGATGCCACTTAGGTTCAGCCTCAAAATGGCGATTGTGAAATGAATGAAACTGGCACTGGAGG